GCTCATAAGCCGAGGTACCACTGTACAGTATTTGTTAAAAATTTAAATTTTATCCGATCAATCTGGAAGTGGTTTTAAAATGAGCGCCTTTAGATTGCGAACAATGATACCAAAATGAAAGATGTAACACGAAAGTTGATGTCAGAACACTGGAAAGATATAAATAATTTTATGATGATGAGCGTCCAAATTTTAAAATATTTGTTAAAATTCCATTTATTGCTCTATTATTATGGGACTAGTTTTAAAATACTCACCTTTATATTGCAAACAATTTTATACCAAAATGAAAGATGTAACACGAAAATTGATGTTATCAAACTGATTGAGTATACGCATTAGGTTGCGGTGTGCCAATTAGTGCTCGTTCATGGGCCGACTTTAGGCTTTGCTGCTGGGAGTTACACCAGGCTTTTGGACATTACGTATATACATATAGACCTGCAGGGAATTTAATTGCGAACACAATGATAGCAAAACGAATGACGTAGCACAAGAATTAAGCCGAGAAAACTGAAACGAGTATACACATTTTACTGATTTTGTGCGCTCACGGGTAACTTTTACTGACTTTAGGCTTTGCTGTGGGGAGTCACGGCGGGCTTTTGGACATTATATGCATATACACCTGTAAGGAATTCTATTGTGAATACAAAGATGCCAAAACGAACGGCATAGCACAAGAATTAAGGTGAGAAAACTGAAACGAGTATTCACATTTCGGTGTCGCCGCACACTCGCCCGCACTGAAGTGCGGGAGAGTCAAAGTGTATGCGCTCACGCTCCGCGTGCGAAAGTGTTAAATTGCATTCACTTGAAAGGCGAAGAGTTAGGGGTGACATGATAGAGGTTTACAAGTGGATGAATGGACATAACAAAGGGGATATTAATAGGGTATTAAAAGTATCAACACAAGACAGAACACGAAACAATGGGTATAAATTGGATAAGTTCAAATTTAGGAAAGACCGGGGTAAATACTGGTTCGGTAACAGGGCTGTTGATTTGTGGAACCAATTACCGCGTAACGTGATGGAGGTGGGGTCCCTTAATTGTTTCAAACGTGGGTTGGATATGTATGTGAGTGGAATTGGGTGGTTATAAATAGGAGCTGCCTTGTGTGTGGGCCAATTGGCTCTCTGCAGTTACCTTTATTCTTATGTTCTTTGGTCTGCTTCCTTTGGTGGCTTGGGAGGATCTTTTCCTGTACCTCATGTGAGTCCTAGAGTTTGCCTCTGATGCCTCCTGCCTCTTTTGAATTTGGGTCTTCTTATTAAATGCATTATGAGGTTCAAGAGTCTTTCTGACTACCAGACAATCATTTTTTCTCTGGGTGGAGTCTTTTTGGAGTCATCAAAGTCACCAACAGGAGTCATCAGCAAGGGTAAGTAATAACTGTAACATACTTTTTTAGTGAAGATTAGGGTGAATTAGGTCTAAAATTTAATTGGAAGTGAAATTTTTTGGGAGTCAGGAACGGATTAATTCATTTCCCATTACAGTATTTCTTATGGGGAAATTTGCTTCGGTTTACAAATTTTTGGGTTACGAATCGTCTCCAGGAACGGATTAAATTCTTAAACCGAGGTACTCCTGTACCTCTGTGCTGCCCAGGTCACGGGTGGTTCTAGAGTCTGTGTTGAAGTCGACCTCATTGTCGTTCTGTTGGTAGTCTCTGAAGTGGTAGTGGAGGCAGTGAGACTTGTGCCAGGGGCTATGATGGGGTCCAGGCCATTGGCTAGATATAATATGTTCAGCTCACTGACAAAACGGTGGTTGTCTGGTCCGGCAAGCCTTTCCGCTAGTCTAATAAGACCAGGAATGATGCCTGCACGTGATGCAAGGAGCTGCGAAGGAGCCTGTGGGGCCTTGGGTTCCCATTGTGAAGGCTGGGTTGCCTGGTTGGATGAGCCACTCTTTGGTAAGGCTGAAAAGTCTTCTAGTCGGTTGGTGTGAGCTGAGGTGGTGGGTTGAGCTGCTGGGGCTCTGGTCGCAGAGGTAGAAGGGTTGTTTCTCTTGGCTTCAACTTAGGCCTTGATGTTTTCCTGTCTGCTGGGGCAGCGGTAGGAAATTGCAGAGTGATTGCCATCACAGAGCAAGCAGCAATGGGCTGTTGCCTTGCATTTGGAGTAGTGATGGTCCAGCCACACAGGCTGCACTTCTGGAGAGGGTGCTGACACTTGTTAGTGGGGTGGGAGAGCTCGTAGCACTGTTGGTTCTTATAGTATCATTCCTTTTTTACTTTTTACTTGGTGTGGTTGTATTTGTAAGCCGAAGCAGTAGAAATCTTGTGTGACAGCCTGAGTGGCAGCAGTTATGGTGGTGAAAGTAATCTTCATTAATGATTTGTTGGTGCTGCAGAAGCGATCCACTGGCTGGTCCTGCTAGTAAAAACAGTTCTTCCGGCCAGGAACTGACGTGGGTAGTGAGGATGTAGGTGGTGTTCCTTGGGAATTATGGCATCGTTGTCAAGAGTTTTTCTAGCTCTTCCTCACATGAAAAGAATAGCACGATATCATCACCTTCCTGACTAATGTCATTGGGTGTGATGCTGGTAACGTCCTTCAGGAACTTAAGAATATTGCTTCTCCTGAAAGCATGACCGTCAAGAGGGGTAGCTCTAACCTTTAGACGTTTGGGTCGCAATGTGTCCACACCCTCAACAGGTCGCAGTGTGATGGTTGTGCCAGAGAAGTCATCACTGCCTGATGTTATAATGGAAGGGGACTCCCCTTCCAAACAGTAACACCTCTCCTCCTCCCCCCTCCTCACCATCTTTCATGTGCCAACAGGAGTCATCAGTAAAGGTAAGTAATAACTTGTACATACTATAGTACTAAATATTTACATGAATTAGATAGGCAGTATATTTTGAGGTTAATATTTTTGGGAGTGTGGAATGTATTAATTCAATTTACATTATTTCTTAGGGGAAATTCGTTTCGGGTAGTGAATTTTTGGGTTACAAACCATCTTTGGGAGCGGGTTAAATTCATAAACGGAGGGGGCCACTGTACATCGTTCTTGGTGTGCCTTGTGCTGTTTTGTGTGTGTGTGTGTTGTGGCTCTTCTATTTCAGAACAGATTGTTCTGTTTTTCTTTCCTTGGTTTTCTTTGATTGGCATCTTCTGCTGAGTACTGTTGCTTCTTATAGTGCAGCATAGGCTGAGCTGCTCCAGTTTGTGTTCAGGGTTGATCCCACCTCAGCCCCATTTTGCAAGCTCTCTCGCACTTTGTTTCACCTCTAGTCTGCTCATGTGCCGCCTATGCTTGCCTAGTCCTTGGACTGGGTTTTTTCTTTTCTTTCGTCTGCTTGGTTTTCCTGTGGCCTCCTTTGGTCTGGGTTTGTTTTCTACAGGCATTGTTTTTATTTCTCTGGCTTCTGGTTGTTGAGTGGGTGAGTTTCATGCTCTCCTTTGAGGTCAGTGATTTTTTCTTTTGACCCTGGTGGGCGATTTGTTTATTTGCGGCTGGCACCTTCTCTTCTGGAGAAGAATGAGTCTGTTGGCTTCTGTAGGGGTCCCTTGGTCATGGATGATTGGTTGGTTCAGCTGGGGGTTAATCATGTGCTTTGTCTGGCGGTGGCTTTGCGCCACCACCTTCGTACCGCTGGTTCTGCTTTGGTGGACTGTTTGTGGGTTGATCCAGTTTCCCCTGTTTCCCTGTTCTAGGGCTTGTATTTCTCAGGTTGTCTGCAGTGTCTTTAATTAGCCAGTCTACCATCGTGCCCATGATGTGTACAAATACTGTATGTGGTTCTGTTGGCTGTCGTTGCCAATATGGCTTGGGTTGTTATTAGAGTGTGGGGTGTTGCGGTCGATTACGGTCTTGGTGGCCTGATATCTCGTGACTGTTCCCAATCCTCAGCGGCCTTATGTGACTTTGGCTCGTGTGCCGCAATTGATTCGGCTGGGGGTGCATCGTGGACTTTGTCCGGTAGCAGCTTTACGTAGCTACCTCCAAACCACCAGTTCTGTTCTTCAAACCACCAGTTCTGTTTCGGTGAACTCTGTGTGGGTTGATCCGGTTGCCCTGGTTTCCTGTTCCAGGGCTCATATTTCTTAGGTTATCTGTAGTGTTATTAAAGTTAGCCAGCCTGAGGTCTACCCTCATGCCCATGATGTCCATAAGTATGTCACTGTCGGCCGTTTTTGGTAGTACAGTATGTCATGGGCTGATATTTAGGCGCAGGTTTTTTTTGGAGGATCGTGTATCGTGGTGGGCTCTCCTTCGACTCGATACCTGAGGTGCTGCCATCTCCCTGGTCAGTGACCCTTTTTGTTCTTTTCTGTGGTTAGCTTCAGGGAGCTGATGGGGCTCGCCACAGAAAACCAGCTTTGAATGTAATGAAAAGCCAGTTTCTGGGTGAGCCCCGGAGACTCCCTGGCATCCTCCCTCCCCCCAGGTCATTGGCAGGTTTTATCATTGTAGAACTGGCCTGTGTGGAGCCCAGTTCACCCGGGCCAGCTCCCTCCCCTCCCTCCCTCAGGCGAGGGGGAAGGTGGGGTCAAACTAGCGGGAGGCTGGTTTCATAAAATTTGGTTTTCATTTTGGGGGAGTTCTTTCGCCAATTTTGAGGGTGTGGTTTCATTTTAACCATGCAGTAACCTGTTTTGATTTTCCTGTCTTTCTGGGTGCTTTCCCTTGGATAGTGGCAAATATGATAAACTTTAAATGTTCTGTGTTCATAGGCCATCGCTTCCTTTGCCTCTCTGAGGGGGCCAGGTTCTGGCTAGTGGTACCAGGTAGGCCAATAGAACTCCACAACTGATTACACCCAGTAGTATGGCACTTAATCAGTATACAAAGCTTCAGGGAGTTTCTGGGGTTCACCCAGAAACTGGCGTTTCAGCGCTATGTTTTTAAAGGGAAATATAAAATCAGCACACACACAGAGCAGTGTAGTAAGTACATTTTAAATTTGTATAATTGGTTTTCTTTAACAAACATTTTCTGGAAGGTAAAGTCTGTAATTTTAAAGTAAGATATATTACCCTCAGAATACATCGTAGCATTTAAAGGATACTACAGGCAAGAGGCACGTGAACGTTTTATTGAGGCTGCATTAAATGAATCCAATGTGGTTCGGTGGGAGGTCCTGCCACGTGATAATCCAGCTAGTGACTACCCAAGTGATTTTGATGTTGTTCAGGTATGAATTTTCGTTTTTTTTTTTTTTGTCTTGTTATACTGTACTAGCAGGATTACATTATTCTTAATTATAATTATGCTTTTTAAATTTAAAAAATTTCAAGGGACCATGGGTGATAAATTTATTTGTTAAATCATAACCATTAATATCAGTATAAGAACTTTAAAATGTCTCCAAATATGTTTACAAATAGTGAGGAATTTGTCTTGACTACCCATGTCTTTGATACTTTTATTTTATTAATTTGTTTAGGTACATGTGCATTTATGCAACTATTCAAGACTATATGAAGGTGATTCATATAATTTATATGTGATGCTAAAAGGAAATCCCCGTCTCACAGAATGATTAGTCATGCAGAGCCACGTTATCAGTAACCTGCACTGGCAAACTTTGGATGCATTATGAAGAACACAAACACATCAAGAACACGAAAGTGAATAAAGTTGCAACGATACAAAAAATCCCTGTCTTGCAGGATGCTTAGTCATTCAGAGCTATATGATCAGTAGCCTGCACTGGCAAATTTTGTATGCATTATGTGGTTGTCCTCAAGAACACTCCAGGTGCCTTATGCTGGCAGGTCTCAAGGGTCTGACAACTGGGCATTTAATAATGTAAAGTGAGACCATGACCAGCTCCTGCTTACAGAGTTTGCACCTGAAATTGCACCAGAGTTTGCACCACTTAAGTATAATTACCTAAGTGTAGTTATAGGTTGAGAGCTATGCTCGTGGTGTCCCGTCTTTCCAGTACGCTTTGCCGTATAACGCTGTGAAATTACTGACAGATTTTGACCTCCACCACCTTCTCACTTAGTTTGTTCCAATTGTCTACCACTCTGTTTGCAAAAGAAAATTTTCTAATATTTTTTCTCCACCTCTGTTTTCTTAGCTTGAATCTGTGGCCTCTTGTTCGTGAAGTTGCTGGTTTCAGGAATTCTTCTTTGACAATACTAGCAAATTTGTTAGTATTTTGTAAGTGGTAACCATATCACCTCTATTTCTTCTACTCCTAGTTTTGGCATGGTTAATGCCTCTAGTCTCTCCTCGTAACATTTGTTTTTCAGTTCCTGGAGTCATTTTTTAACATGCCGTTGCACCTTTTCCAGTTTATTGATGTGCTTTCTGAGATTTGGGCACCTTACAACTGTTGCATATTCCCGTTTTGGTCTCACAAATGTCATGAACAGTTTCTTTAGTGTTTCACCATGTATATAATAAGTGCTCTGGGGTAGGAGAATTGTTACTTGTAGCCACCTGCCAGGTAACGGCAGAACAACCTGATCCTGATAACCATTGTGTCGCACTATCTGGTGGACATTTTATAGTGCCCAAGTACTTAGGTTTCAGATCTAAACAAATCATGGCTTTTTATACTGATGCATTCAGGCCTTTGGGAGTTGTAATTTCTCTATTATTAGACTTGAGTGTTGGGAACAATATAATCTTAACAACAGAGATGGGGATGATGTAACAAGACCTTACTAGGTCTTGTTACACATTAATTTGGCTGCACAGTGTCCTAATAATGGTTTATATTTATTTGAGATGTCATTCATACAAAAAGTATTCTAAACCCTTTATTCTGTGCAGTGAGCAAGTGTATTTATAATTGGTATCATGAAGTTCTTGCTGTTGATATTGTGGGAGAAGTTTTCAAGAGCTTGAAGACCAGACTTTCAACCACAGAAACTTATTCCTCCTGTAAACAAATCCACTAGGGCCGTGACGAGGATTTGAACCTGTGTCCGAGAGCATCCCAAATGCTGCCTTAATCGACTGAGCTACGACATGGTCAACAGAGTGGAAACCGAAGTTCTACTGAACTTGCTGGATCCTGCAGCCTCTCCGAGGCACAAACCAGGCTTTTACACAACTCCCCCATGCACACGAGCTATGTCAATAGGCCGTTCTCCCTCTTTGCTCTTACTGCATTACACACAGAAATCACAATTGTGTGATGCATCAAATGAACAAAGCCACAAATCCTTGTGGATTTGTGGATTTGGCGAAGAGGGAGAACGGTGTATTGACATAGCTAGTGTGCATGGGGGAGTTGTGTAAAACCCTGGTTTGTGCCTCGGAGAGGCTGCAGGATCCAGTAAGTTCAGTAGAACCTTGGTTTCAACTCTTTTGACCATGTCGTAGCTCAGTTGATTAAGGCAGCATCTGGGATGCTCTCAGATGCAGGTTCGAATCCTCATCACGGCCCTTGTGTATTTGTTCATTTGTTTACACACGTACGGGTCTACTGTGAGCGTGGCGCTTCAGTTTACCAGTGTCTCCTGTTGCAACCTGTTCTCGCACTTTCGTATAGTCAATATTGACTTGTTAAATACTTGTATGGTCGGAGCCGGTCGGCCAAGCGGACAGCACACTGGACTTGTGATCCTGTGGTCCCAGGTTCGATCCCGGGCGCCGGCGAGAAACCATGGGCAGAGTTTCTTTCACCCTATGCCCCTGTTACCTAGCAGTAAAATAGGTACCTGGGTGTTAGTCAGCTGTCACGGGCTGCTTCCTGGGGGTGGAGGCCTGGTCAAGGACCAGGCCGCGGGAACACTAAAAAAAAAAAAAAAAAAAAAAAAGGCCCCGAAATCATCTCAAGATAACCTCAAGATATGTGACATACTAAACATACTAGTTTACCTTGAAAAGCTTCATAGAAAACACCGACCTTACCTAACCTTCTTAGTATGTTAATTAAGATAAGCATCTTATTGCTTCGTAATTACAATTATTACTTAACCTATTATAGGTATAGGTTTAATTATTACTTAACCTATTATAGGTATAGGTTAACAGTTTCGCGCGCCCGGCTAAGGTTAAAAAAAAAGCGGTATGTGCGCGCGGCATTTTTGTCGATTAAGCGTCAAAACAAAAATGTGTATACTCTTTTTACTCTCCTGACCTTAGTTCTCGAGCAACGTACAGTGGAACCTCTATTAACGAGTGGCTCTATTAACGAGTTTTTCCAGTAACGAGCAAGCCACTCGCAGCAAATTTGTCTCTATTGACGAGCTCGCCTCTATTAACGAGTGAAACCACATGGCGCTTCCTAGCGTCTCGCGGGTTCTCGCAAATTCTCGAACGCCTCCGACGCCAGTGTTGTTGTTGTATCTCACACGACAAGCATCCCTCTGGATTTATTTGAGCTTTTCTTTGGGTTTTTAGTGGTTTTGCGACTACAATTTGTAACACACGATGTCTCCAAAGAAGCTGCTTGCTAAAGATAGTGTTTTCAAGAGGAAGAAAGACACAATTATTATGGATTTCAAGAAGGAAATTATAGCAAAGCATGAGTGTGGTGTCTGTGTGATTGATCTCACAAGGAAGTATGGCAGGTCCTCATCAACAATTTACACCATTAGTAAGGGAATGAGGAGGTAAGGGAGGATGCTGCCTCTTCCACTGAGATCAAGGAAGTGTTTGGAATGTTTGAAAAGGTGAACGCATTCTTGGAAAAGCTGCCCTGATAAAGCAGTGACAACCCAGTGTGTGAAAATGTTTAATTAATTTATCACTTTGTGATAACACTTTGAGTGTTATCACTTTCGCAGGTATATGTCGCTTGAACGTAACACACTTTTTTTTCTCTTGAATGCACCCAAACACCGCGCTCAAGTATCATTTGAGCAAATATTTCTATAAAATCCAATACTTATCCGATCGACTTGGGGATTGTATACATGTTTGCCATGAAATTTCCATTTTCTTTAATAACCACATTGCCTATTTGAGAAAACGGCATTGTATTGTATCTTCGTGGTAAGACTATTATATTGTTGACACAACGAGTGTAATCAACGTAGTTTTTTTATTTGGTGCTGGTCTAACGCATCCTTGTGTGACATTTGAAATGAAATTTGGGTGAAATTCCCAAGAAGAGAGAGTCCGCCTGACTCAGAGGTGAATTCTCCTTCCACACCATAACCCTTCTCCTCCTTCCCACCTCTCCATCGTCTCCCTCAAGCCAGCAACTACTCTTCATAAGGTAAAGTAAATATTAAAACACCACAACAAAACATTTATATTTACATGTGCAGTATTATATTTACATAAAAAAAAGTCATACAAGTATGGATGTTTTTGGGAATGGAACGGATTAAATTTATTTCCTTTATTTTAAATGGGGAAATTTGTTTCCAAAGACGAGTTTTCCAGGTAACGAGCTCGGTGCCAGAACGGATTAAACTCGTTAATAGAGGTTCTACTGTATTTCATTTTGGTACCAACGTGTTCGCAATAAAATTCTCTAGAAGAACATCAGTAAAAAAGGTCACGAAAGGTATAGAGATACCAGCACCAAATAAATAACTATGTAGATGACTCTCGTGAGCGCCCAACAGCAACAAAATGTTTTTACTCTTGGGATTGTTATCACCTCCACACTTGTCCTACAGCGTTAATTTTGGTATCAATGGACTCGCAATGGAATTCCCAACACGGTGATATGAATATAAACGTAGAATAATGGTCGTGGCCCACCCGCAAGAGTGCGGGAAGTGGCGGAACTGTTACCCGGTATCGGTGACGCAACGACACATGTGCGATACGACGCTTTGAAAGTTTATACTTATTTCACTGTCCTGACATTATTATTCTATGTACGTCATTCATTTTTGTGCCAATGTGTTCGCAATAGAATGTTCTATGAGCCCGTAGGTAAAAAAGATCAACAAAGCGTAAGATAGAATAGCGCCAAATATAAAACAACGCTGGAACATATCAGTGAGCGTCAAACACACACAAAATGTTTTTACTGTTGTTATGTTTGTCAAGATTATACTTGTTGCACACAGTTATTTTTGGTTGTACATTGATCGGAATAAAATTCCCTAAACAGACATATGCATATAATACATGATATGGGGGAAGCATTACCAGTATAAACGGCTAAAGTCACCCACCTGCAACCCGTTTGGGACACTCATGCAGACACACGCTACACCCAAAAAAAATCTATGAAGGTTCGAGTCTACTCACGGCAGTTTATGTGAT